AGTACGTACTGCTCAATAAACACTGCAGTGAAGCCTTGATTATTCTGCATTTGTGTCCTGGATTTTGATTCCACACTGTCATTAGGTAAGATCCATTACAGCAGATGATAAGGCAGCCTTTATCTATGAAAGTCAGGTTCAGGGAGCGGACAACCATAAATAATAAAACTGCTTTAAAATTAATGATTAAAAATTAACAAGAGTTAATATTCTAATATGGCTGCTCAAAATCCACTGGTTCAAAAATGGGATGTTTCAGAGAACTCTGCAATGTTGTATTGCCCCTCTTAGACTGTAGCAAGCCACTGCTTGGATGATGACATTCTGGAGACTATCTGGTGGTTTGTGGAAGTAAATCCTGTAAATTGAGGTGATTCCAGACAAATTGTTCTTGGTCTCTCCTATGAGGGAAAGTGGCCAGAACTTTCTCCTCCATACATTTTAGCCACTCATAATCGTGATATATACACATCACTATCCCCTTCTCTCACCCAAAAAAGACATGATCAAGGAGAGAATATAAATAAAGATTAATACTTTTTTTTTCCTTGAAAAAAAAAGTTCTGAAACTTATTTTTAGAAACAGGGAAAACATATCAATCCTCCCAAATTAAAGGAATTTAACATTTCCGTGGACAATGATTTCTATGATGTGATCAGGGAACAGGGGCTATGCTTTGGGCTCTAAATAGTTTTATTAAATTTTAAAGATAAGTACACTCCACATAGAAACATGCATACATATTTACTTCAATCAGGATCTCACTACGGCCAGACCTATTCTGTTAATCAAGCTGAACGATCATTTTAAACTCCTTTGCATGCCTTAGTTCTAAAACACTTCCTATCTTTATTTCACAAGCTCACACACTCAAATTACATACAAGTCATTTATTTATAATAACTGTGAATGATTAGAGCCAGTTCAAAGCAAAACAGACTTAGTTGGCAAAAACACTGCCATCAGCCAGGCTGCCTAAACAACAAAAATCTGTCTTTTCCAATAGGTATGATTACTAAGATTTCATTTGTCCTCATAAATATTGACTTCTGATACAGAGAGGGGGGTGGCAAGTCACATAACCGACACATGGTTGCTTAATCATTCCAGATGTTTTCCCTTTTAAATGCTAAGCAGAAAAGTGTTTTGGCAGTTACAGTAGGGGAAGGCATTTCTATTTCTCTGAGTCATGTAGATCTGTTTGGCCACTATAACCCACATGTCTACCATTCCTATGACAAAATGTTCATAACTGTAAAAATAAATTATAAATATGACTGTAGATTAAGATAGGGGGGTTGGAGTGCTGATATACAAAATATGCTTTTGTAAAAGTAAATGTTGTTGCTGTTGTTCTTAATATTTTTATTCCATTTTTTAGTACATAAACTGATAGGACAATGCCAATTGGATCATCCCATTACATTAAGAAATCCACCACAACTGCCATGTGATCTGAAATTAAACTCAATTACAAAGGATGTACGGTATAGTGTCCAATTGCACTGAAAATGCTGTGCAAGGAATACATGATGCAGTGCCATACAATTTTCAATGTATTTTCTAACATTTTGAGAATGGACTTGGGAATATGCCTAAATTATGGTACTACTTATAGTTCTATCAAATTCTTCCGTTGTCAAAGTAAACCAAAGCAGATATTCATTCATTCATTCATTCATTCATTCATTCATTCATTCATTCATTCATTCATTCATTCAATGTATATCCCACCTTTCCTCCAGGAACTTTAAACAAGTTCTCCATTTTTTTCCCCACAATAGCAAGCCCGTGAAAAATGCTAGGCTCAAAATTACTCAGTTTCCATGGCTGAGGATGAATTTCAGCCTGAATCTCCCCAGTCCTAGTTCAAGATTTTAACCAGTAAATACAGTGTGAATATATATCTCTGACATTTTGTGAGCATAGGCAAAATCACCTGAGGGGGAGAGGACAAATAACAAAACCAACCAAATGACAATGTATGACACAAGCTCTGCCCCTTTTTCGGTGTCACATACATGTCCGTATAGAGTGGAGCTTGTGTCACAAGGTTGCAATCCTTCTTTCATTGTTCTGAAAGAAACATCAAATTCTGTGGAAGCCTCTGAGTGAAACAACTGGATTGGGACTCTGTCACAGGGGAAGTGGGATTTAAAATCCTTCTTCCTCACAATTCTTCTATGAAGTTAAATCACCCAAAGCGGCTATTAATTAGGGAAGGAGGAATCCAAAAAGCACAATTTTCCATGATGGATAATAGCACCTTAGGGGAGCAAAATATATAGAATTATTCATAGAGGAAAAAAGATAGGCACTTTTGATCTAAGTTCAGCATCCTTCATATCAAGTTTGATTTTGCTTCAGAAAGCATGAGACCTCCTTATGGCTTTCCTTTCCTTTCCTTTCCTTTCCTTTCCTTTCCTTTCCTTTCCTTTCCTTTCCTTTCCTTTCCTTTCCTTTCCTTTCCTTTCCTTTCCTTTCCTTTCCTACCAGAAGAGTAGGATTGTACAGTGGTAAAGATAAATCAAGTCAAAAGTCAAGCTCAACTTTGGGTTCCCACATCTTGGCAGCAATAAGGGTATGGATTGCCACTGCCTTCTTCTGGATTTTCCCCCAAATTCCTAATCTACAGTAATGCTAAACAGACTCAATATTGTTTAGATATCAAGCCAAACCAAGCCAAGGCTAGCCAGGTGCTATTACATGAATGTCACACACACACACACACACACACACATACACATGTTTGTGCTTTATAAAGTTATTACATCCAGTCTGAACAGCTAAACTGAGTTTTTATCCATCCATCCATCCATCCATCCATCCATCCATCCATCCATCCATCCATCCATCCATCTTTCCATATAATTTATATTCTGCTTTTCTTCTAGGACATCAATACAGCACAAGTCACATTTATTCCTCCAATTTTTTGTCTACAGCAGTCCTGTGAGGTATAAATCCTGTATCTAATTTCCATTATTGCTTAATTTTGTTTGTGAAATATCTATAATTTATATTTTCTCACAGGCCCAATGTTTTTTCCGAAAACAAGAGGGTCCTTAACCTTTTTCACCCATTACAAAACAACTGCCTAATACCACAAATATATTTTGTGTAGATTGTGAAGAGCCTGAAGAGATATATGGGGATTCCAACTTTGGTAGTAAGAGAGGCATACATTCTCCACCACAGGCAGGTGCTCTAATAAAATCATTGCTAGTAAGAGCCTTTATTGGTATGGATCATCAATACTAATCTGGTTGAGTCACCTCTTGGTCGTGCCAGGGAATGACTGGAATCCTGTTCCTCTACCAAGATAATAATTTACAAAGGAATTGGGGATTGGAAAAGGCATCTGTACTATAGAGTTACTTCTTTTTCCATTCAGAACCAGTAGCAAAGCAAAAAGTTTATGAAAAACAGGATACTTACTTTGCCAAGTGATTCATGAGCAAATGGAGCATCTGTCTATTTTTCTCTGGAAGTCTGTGTACTAAGCTATGGATCTCTGAAATTCTGGATTCTTGATTCTCCAGTTCTGCAGTAAGACAAAATATTTTTTTAGTACAGTTTGACTTTATGATTCAGCTACCAACTACACAAAGCAAGCTGAAATCCATGCGTTCCTTTAATTCTACTAATGTAATATGCATACTTGCCCCCATCCACAAAAACTCTCTACTCATATCAAGGATTGTTACATTCAACAAATCCATTTAAAAATATCTTTAAAAGTCTAAGAACCTCAAATGTTATCTTAGGAAAGCACTACATTTTGAAGACAGAAGTTGATAATATAGTTGTAAAAGTGTTTGAACAATCAATCCTAAAGGATTGGACTTTCACAACTACTCGCATGTTATAGAAAAGTAGCAGACTCACTGTACTGACCACTTCCTTCCTCTATCTCATCTAGAACTACTGGGGCCAGGGGAAGAAGGTAATATCAGTTAAAACCTCTATTTTAGTTTGACAGGGAGCAGGCTATCCGAGTAGAAATAATGAGATTTGTTATCACAATCCAAGTTTCTGCAGAAAAAAATGTGACAACTGTTGTGGCCAAAACCTGACTCACCTAAAGCAACCAAATCACTTTTAAGATGCAACATAATTTTATTTGCATGCTTACAAGCAAATGGAATTACATTTGTAAATACAGCAAAGGAATATATTGTTTTCCTATAGCATTCATCAGTTTCATTCAATTCATTTCATTCAATTCAACAACGCTAACACGCTTTAGCCATTGTTTCCCTATGTATTCCAATGATAAAAGGAGAAAAGATCTCCCAGATCAGTTAGAACACACACTCTTTCTCTCAAGTTCCTTCAAGCACAGCCCACTGGGGCACATACAGTCTTCAATCCCTCACTTGCATTTACAAACTGATTAGACATATTCAGAAAGAGGAAAATTGTCAATTGTCAATAGGCATAGTGGTTTCAAAGCAAAAGCCCCTTGCTCTGAAAGTACCAGCTCCGGGAACAAAACTGAAACAGTACAATCATATCTTGCTTGTGAATCCTCAAAGTGTAGGGCTGTTCATCTTGAGGTATGTAGTGCTGGCCTGCTTTATGGTCTAGCCCAGCAGCAACCTTCCTATTGTCTTACATTCATAACCTCTATAAAAACATTATTAAAATAAATACATTCAATTATTTATATGATAACAACCTGGAAAGCTTGGGGGGGGGGTAGAACATTTTCATTGGTGCATGTGTCTCTGTGCACTTTTTCTTTCTTTTATACACACACAGGTATCTCCTTTCTACACCTCAATGTAATCAGTCCACAGTGCTATTATGCCCCCAAGCATTAGCAGTCAGGAGTCTGGAAAAGCATTAACTTATCTTTCATAATCCTTCCCATTGTTTGTACATAATGCCACCTCCATCAATCAAGCACTAACTACTTTTTGCAGAATACAAGAGATAAAAGTTAAATGATTTCTATGTGTTTCTGTCCTTCCACTAAGCTAGTGTTGTGAAATGATAAAAAAGCTGAGTATGAATTTTCAGTTCAAATCTCCTATCTACTATGAACTCACTTAGCCAAGCCACTCTCTCTGTCACTCATCATCTGGAATATGAAGATAATAGTACTGACTTAACCCCAGAGTATTTCAACGGATTAGAACGATATACGGGGAAGCATTTGGAATATTCACAAGCTTGTTACGATGACTGACTGTTGTTCTCATCATAAGATACATCTTTGCAACCCAATCAAGTGGAATCATTTACTCTGAATGTGTAACACACCTTTTAATTTCTGTTCCCATATTTGTGGCCTTTGCTTCAGAAGAGGAACACCATCTTCCAACATGTAGGTTATTAACAACGGAAGGTTTTTTGGAAAAGGAAAGGCTGCATTCCCAGAAATGACAGGCATAACACATAGGATATTTCTGAGGTTTTACCATACTTCCCTAAATCTCTAATTCAAGAGTCTCCATCTCAAAATGGCTCTGTGTTGCACAGCTTTTGGTCACTGAGAACTAATTAACATTTTTTGCAAGGGTGAACCCACACCATCACAACTATCTGCAGTTTTGATGAAAAGAGGTTCCAGGGGTTTAGAAGGCACAGGAAGTCCTGCAACCTCCAGGTATCCATCCCACAGAGGGTAATATAGCAGGAAGTCTGAGCTCAGGAGAACTATTTCAGGTTCTGGTTAACCCACAGAGTAGCCAAGAGCCAGTAACTAAATCCTCAGCTAGGTTCTCTCACTGTTGAGAGAACAAAATAGGATGACTTCATGTAACGGAGGCAGTAGCCATGGCAATAGTAGCAAAGAAAATATATATTCTGCAATGGATATATTAATATGCGACCTAACTTATATTATCCTTCCAGCTCCCATACTCATGTCAATATACAGATCAACTTGTGGATATTTTTTTAAAAATCTGGTATGTGGCAGATAACAACTTGTTTCTTGAAAAGAAGGCAAAAGGCAAAGTCATTTTCAATGTCCTCAAAAGAATTAATACAACCTTAAATTCTAGTGTTCAATTTTAAATTTAGTATTAAACATAAGTGATGAAATAGTATGACCTGAAGGATGCCTGAGTGATTTCTTGTCAGAAACACTATAATTAAGGGAGACATTTTTACCCATGAATAACTGCAATTATAGAATACTATAAAACTTCAAGTTATTAAAAATAGCCATTTCTATGTTTCTGGTAAGCAGAGTTTCCATGCTATCCCATCACATTTCTTTTAATGTGAGCAAGCTCTCGTTAACACACTCTTGTACAACGTAACGCCTATCCACAGAATTTACTTAGAATCTGTTCTGTTGCATTTTAAAACAATAATCTCCTTGAACAGATTGTCACAAATTACTTACTTGCTGCTTTGATGAAGCTTCTTTGAAACTGATACATCATGAGTGGCCCAGGGAGCATTCTGGAATACAGATTAAAGCATAGATAAATAAGAGCAATAAAATACTTGGCAAAAAGGATTATTTGCAATTGAAAGCCTTCCATTGTCATGTATCCCTTCTTCAACATAGGCAAGGCATCATTAATACTGCAAGGATGGGGAAGACAAAAAGGATTCCTTTCATTCAAAAATGCAGCCATATTTATTTATTTATTCCAATCAATGATATGACAATAGGGGAATGTTCCTTTATTAAAAAAAATGCACACATGGTCTCTTCATGACACTTTAATGAAAGTGAATTATGCCCCAATCCAAGGAAATCTCTGCAGACCACCAAAAAAAAAAAAAAGGTTGCTGATGCTCATAAGTCTGGCTAGAGTACAAAAGCATCGCTAAAGACTTCAGCTTCCAGCAATCTATCATCAGGTAGACAGAGTGTACAAGTGAAGAAAATGCACCACCACTAATTTCTCCAGGAGTGGTCATCCTCCAAAAGCAAAGTGTATAGCACTCCAGGAGGTCATAAAGAACCTCAGGGTAATGTCAAAGGATCTGCAGGCTATTATTGCATTGACCGATGTCAGTGTTCATGAGTCTACCATAAGAAAAACACTGAAGAAGAGCAGTGTGCATGGGAGGATAGGTGTTATCTTTTGGCCCCTCTCTCAAAGTGACATTTCCAAGCAAGATTCTCAATGAGCCTTTTTTAAAAAAAAGTTTTATTGAGGTTAGGGTTACAGGAATTTAATCAGCTAAATGATTACCCATACAGAACTAATTTATCTCTTGAAATACCTTAGGGTGGAGACTTACTCCATTTCTTTTAATGGCTTCCTGTGGAGTGGCAAGGAGGAAGATTTATCTGCAGATAATGGATAACCTTGAGCTGACTGATTACCAAACCATCCCCTGAATCTTTATCAACTTGTGAACTAACACAATACTAAAGAGGAAACTGCTGTTCTCCAGAAAGATCACTGCTGCGTGCCTTACGTTTGCCCAAGACAATCCAGCAGACTACAGTGCTCTGAGATAGAAATCGAACTTCCTGGCATAATTGAGAAAATTTATATTTGTAGAAAATGAAACACTGCATTCCAACAAAAAAATTGTCAACCCAACATTAACGCATGGTGGTTGTTTGGTGCTGTTTTGATCCTCAGGACCTGGAGGGCTTACAATCACTTAGGGACCAGTGGATTCTGGACTATGTCAGCAAATCCTACAGGAGAACATCAGGGTATCAGTCCATGAGCTGAAGCTTAAATGAATGTCAGTTATGCAGCACAATAATCCTAAACACAAGTCTACAAAAGAAAGAAGGTAGCAATAGAGATTTCATATTTTGGAATGGCTGAGTTTAAGCGCTGAGTTTAAGCCAAAGGAAATGCTGCAGCATGACCTAAAGGAGGCAGTTCATGCAAGACAGCCCCAAAATATCAATGAATGGAAGCAGTTCTGCTAAGAGGAATGGGCCACAATAATTCCAAGTTGATGTACAGGGAGGGGAAATGTTTGGTTTCAGTCTTTGTTGCTAAAGGAGGTGCCCCTAGTCACTAAATCTAAAGCTTCACATAATTTTTCCAACAAAAACAGTGAATGTTGGCTCAAAGGGTTCAATAAAGGTATAAAACAGTAGTCTGGTGCAGTTTCTTTAACCTGAATCTAACTTTTAATGAGACTTAGATGAAACTGACATCACACTGTAGGTTACAGTAGTGCATGATTACCACTAGTTCTAAATGGTTCACAACATTTCTCACCACTATAGGGTGTAGAAATATTTCTCTCTTTATTTCTCCTAATTACTGATATTAAGAGAAGGGTGAACAATAATAGAGATCTGGGCTTGTTCTTTAAATACAGGGAAAATAAGGTGGGGACAGCAAAAGAGAAGGACTGACCACGACAGATTCACATTATTAACCAGCTTCAAATATTATTCAAAATGTTTGCAAAATATCCATTCTTTATGAAATACTAATTTCTTGTTGTTAATACTGTTAACAGCATTTCTAAAAGCTACTTAATATCCCCCCTTTACCTTGAAAACTCAGATTTATGAATAGTAAATGTGCATTTCTAGATCCATATATCATATGAACTAAATTATACAGTTCTGGTGCCTAACTTTGGATCCAAGCAGCAGCAATTCAACAGTGGATCTAATTATCCAGAGGCAAAAAGCAGCTCCCCTTTGCTGAATATGTTAAATGGAAGCTGTATAGGCACCTACTGAGACCACTTTTATTTGACCTAAATTCAATGACCTAAGTAGCCCCTTCCGGTTCTATGATTTTATGATTCCATCAAATCTAACTTAACGTCTGGTTATTTGCTTTCTACTAGCAAACAACATCCACCTGACATGATGCAGGCTAGCAATATATAATCCCAGGTTCCCCATCGATTAATTTGGAATAAGCTGAGCTTCCCTCCACTCAAAGCACTGGGAAATTTACTTAGGAATTCCAAGCAGTCCACTACTCCCCTTTATTGGGAACATGATAAGGTTTCAAGCCCTCCCAGAAGTCTCCAACTTTTATTAACCAACCTCTCACCAAAGATAAGTAATGCCTCTAGTTTATTATTTGCTAACAACAAAAAACTCTGTTAAGATTAGGATCTTCTCCTCACACCTCTAAATGATTTATCCCAGCTGTAGAAAAGATTGTCAAAATGTGGAGAGAGTAGAAAAGAAAGCTGTTGGTTATTCTTCCTCATGCTTGTGGTTTATGACCAGCTGCCAAATAAATATTTGCATTATCTTTATTGCAGCATGATTAATAGTAATAAATTGCATTGTTCTCAGAAAGTGTCAAAGGAAATAGTGGTTCCTTTGTTTCCTGATTTTCCTAGACTAGTGCTCCTCCTTCTCTGGATTTAGAAGCTAAGTAGGATCAGGTCTGATTAGCACTTGATGGAAGACCTCCAGAAAATGGCCAGGATTATAAACATCCTGGAACTATTTCTACATTGCTGCTAAGAAATCTACATGTCCATATCTATGAAGTCACCAGGAACTGAGCTGGACTTGAAGTAAACGTTAGTTTTAGTGCTCACCTATCCCTACAAATAACCTGGTTTTATAGCAGTATTCTTCACATACTTTAAAATGCAACCATAAATAAACTCTATCTTGAACTCAAACTAGGTCTTCATCTCTTGCAAAACTTCATAAAATAAGACAGCTTGAGAAGGTAGAGAAGAGTTACTTTCTAAACCTAAAACATCAAAATATCCTACAAAATGGCTGCCTGAAAATCAGAATGCTGTTGGAGATAGTTAACATTTAAATCTTGACTACTGAGATGTACTGCAGTGAGCTTTTAGAAAATTATGCTTAGGCATAATTCTTGATAGGAATGATCAGCATTAAAGTAGTTTTTATACTACAGAATACCAAGATTGATGAACCAGTGGAATTCTTTTAGACTCAAAAGCACAAATGAGTATGCAAGGAAGCAGCTAGGAAAGGAGACTCTAAGGAGAGTCCAAGCGTCCTTCATGAAGAGTAACACTGGAAAGAAGAGATGCAAATACTCACCTTAAATAAGTTTTTAGTGCACTGGTGATTGTTTTAACTTCCCACTCTGCACAGATGTCATCTTCTGTTTCAGCAGTTTTGGGATCTAAGGAGAGAGATACGAATGAGATCATAAAGGAAGGGGGAAAATCACATTCATTCCAGAATATCCACTGTCAGTTTATTGAGGTCTACCATATTTGGGGTGCAAAAATCCAGATGACCTCTAGATGGGACCAGAGTTATAGTTTTTATTTTATTTTATTTTATTTTATTTTTGCTGTCATCTAATAGTCATCTGGATTTCTGTAGCCCAGATCTGGTAACTATGGTTTAATATGATTTTCTGCATTGCCTATACATTCTCCCTGTTACGCTTTACAAGAGGTTGGTGCTGTATTTATGGATGCATTGACTTGAAGTGTGCTCCTTTGGTTAAGAGATGTATTCTGACACTATGGTTCCTCATCTGTCTGGACAAGTGTAACAGGCCAAGAAAGAAAGAAGGAATCAGCAGTCCCAAAACAACCAGAACTGATCCCAAGAAGTCCCTCCAAACTGACAACCACTGTTTCTATCTGGCATCAAGAGTTTGGAGAAGCTCAGCAAGTAAACTGGAGAAAAAATGCAGGCAAAACAGGATGATAAAAGCAATTCAATACTTTCAACTTGCACACAGTATCATAATAGCTGGGCAAAACAAGCCCACAATATCACACACACATGAGAACAATTAACCCACAGCTGAAATCCATCAATCCAAGCCCAAATTATAACTGGAGAGAGAGAGAGAGATTTTAAACAAATCAAGACGAAATTGGCAATATTCTTCATTACAGTAATTCTGACCTAAAATAATCCCATATTTGCATGTGACAAATGAACCTGTCCAGTTTCCTTGTTGGTAGTTTTGGAAGCACATGATCATGGAAATGGGACCAAGAGGTATCAGGCTGGATTACTAAATCTTCATCTGTTGCCAAAAGGAAGTTCTGAATTTCCCAGAAGCCCTTATAAGAGAAAGAAACTGACAGCTACTGAATGAATTGCCAGCCTCTTTCCCAGTATTTACACAGGTAAACTGAAGGTATGGGAGAGAAATGGAAGGGGAAGGGGGCACAGAGAACAAGTAAAAGTAGCAGCACATAAAGTACCATCCCACAGGAAAACATAAAATTTGAGTCATACTGCCTGTTCCTTTCTTTTTTAGTCCTGCCAACCTTCTTGCCCATTCTCTGTCCCAACACAGACACAGAACTACCTGCCTGAGGGAGTGCTGAGAAGCCTACCTATCCCACAGCCCATGACAGTCCCCCAAACTGCCTGTGAGGAAGAAAATATAGGTAGTCTTCATTTAATGACTGCTTTGTTTAGTGACGATTCACAGTTACAATGGTGATGAAAAAGTAACTTTGCGACCAATCCTTGCGTTTACGACCTTTGCAGCTCTGTAAAACAAAGCTGAAGTAAGACCATAACCACAGTGGCAGTTTCACTCAGCGACCGCTTCACTTAACGACTGAGTTGCCAGTCCTAATTGTGGTTGCTAAATAAGGACTACCTGTAAAGTATTTAAAGAGGGTGAAAAGCAATAGCAAAGGAGACAGAATCATTCCCAAGCACAAGTGCCATCATGCAACTGAACAGATAGAGAAAGGGAATGAGAGGAACCCACATAAGTTATGTAGGGCACATCCTTGGCATCTAGCACAATCACTTAGAGACTAGAAAACAGGGCAGCCAACATACACACACACTCTATGGGAGAGGCTTTTTTTTTTTGGAAAACAAAAGATGAATTCCAGCATGGGGTTAATTCATCACTTGGTTTAGGGGCATTACTCTGCCATTGGAAAATTTAGGGGTTTGTCACAGCATCTCTAAACTTCTGCAGAATGACCTCCCTTCTTCACTCTTTTCCACAGTATGTTCATATTTGATGCTTCATTTCCAGCTCATGGATAAGGGATATTATTCTATGAGTATAGTTATATCCCCTTCATGGATCACTGCCTTGTCGTGGTGAAGGGGCTTGCGTAACTCAGTGAAG